AGAGAAAGTACTGCATCATCATTAAAACAAGAATAGGATTCTTTAAGAGTGCGTATTCATAGAACAGCAGCAACAAAACCAAGCAAACCTTGGAAATTAAAAATATAGTCACAGAAATTAAGAACTCAGTAGAAGGGTAGGATGATAACATTGAGAAAATGTTCCAGGAAATAGAGCAAAAAGGCAAAGAGATAGCAAGCAAGAGGGGAAAATAAGATGAGAAATTTGGAGGACCAATCTAAGAGATCCAACATTTGAAGACTATGCCTTCCAGAAGAAAACAAAACATGGAAGAGAAGAAATCATCAATAATATAATTAAAGAAAATTTCCTGGCTGGGCACAGTGGCTCATGCCTGTAATCCCAGCACTGCGGGAGGCCGAGGCGGGTGGATCACCTGAGGTCAGGAATTCAAGACCAGCCTGGCCAACATGGTGAAACCCCATTTCTACTAAAAATACAAAAAATTAGCCAGCCAAAAAATTGGCAGGCACCTGTAATCCCAGCTACCTGGGAGGCTGAGGCAAGAAAATTGCTTGAATCCAGGAGGTGGAAGTTGCAGTGAGCTGAGATCATGCCATTGCACTCCAGCCTGGGCAACAGAGCGAGACTCTGTCTCAAAAAAAAAAAGAAAAGAAAAGAAAGAAAATTTCCCGGAACTGAAAAATACCACTTTCCAGATTGAAAGGGCCTACTAGAGTAGATGAAACAGACCAAACCAAGGCATGGCACGCAATGATGAAATTTTAGAACATTGTGCGATGAAGACCCTAAAAGCATCTAGAAAGAAAATAATTAAGCAGTTGAAAAGTATCATGGGTGAGAATGGACCTAGACTTTTTGAAAGCAACACTGGAGTTAGAAGACAATTAAGTGATACCTTCAAAATTCTGAAGGAAAATTATTCTCGATCTATAATACTTAGTCCTCTGGGTTCACAATTCCACGAGCAACATTCACCAGTGCACCATGGAACACAATGAGAATCTTTGCTCCTCGGGTTTGTGCAGTGCAATGCTTTGGCTCTACCCTTCCTCAGGCAGCCATTGGATGATGTGCTTCACCAAGATGAGGGAGTAAACCAAGGAAGGGGAAGGCATGGGAGAAAAGGAATAGAGGAGTCAACATAGGAGAGGGGCAGATAAATCCTCAGACTGCTGGTGTGGGGAGACCCTGGATGGCAGCTGGGCTTAGAAGGCAACTAGTCAGATTCGAGCAGGTCAGAAAGTTCCAAGGGACATTTCTTCAAGATGGTCGTTATGGCCTGCATGTTGGTTTCCTCCCCAAATTTATAGGTTGAATCACTAACCTCCAACGTGATGATATTGAGGTGGGTAATTGAGCGGTAATTAGGTTTAGATGAGGTCATGAGGGAGAGCTCCCATGATGGAATTACTACCCTTATAAGAAGAGGAAGAGACACCAGAACTTCCTCTCTCCACTCTGTGAGGACACAGTAAAAAAGCGACTGTCAGCAAGCCGGGAAGTGGGCCCCCACCAGAACCTGACCATGCTGGCACCCTGATCTAGCCTCTAGAACTATCAGGAGAAATAAATGTCTGTTGTTTAAGCCACCCAGTCTATGACAGTTTGTTGTAGCAGACTGAACTAAGACCAAAGTAAAAGAGAAATTCCGATTTTGTCTCATCATGAAAGAGGAGTTTTGGCGTTGAAATATGATACGCATACAGAAACTGAGCAAAGGGAAAAGAAGACCAGGATTAACAGGGAAACGAAGTTCTGTAGACATGATCACAGCACACGGCATGGCTTTGCTGAGAGTACTGTTTACACTGACCTAAGAATATAACACCAAAGTATCAAGCTAATACAAACTATGATATTGAGAGGGCAGGGAGTGAGTGGTCAGGGTAGAGTGGTAATGCAGAGAATTAAGTCTGCATCACTATAATGGGAAGTCAATAAATTATATCTAAAACAGAAAAAAATCTAGAAGTATTTACATACACATGGCACTTAGAAATTTGGAGCTAATACCAAAAGAGTCAGCTAAAAGAGTTGAAAATGGTTGGCTTTGGGGAAGGAGCAATGTTATTACTACTATTATTATTTTTTGGAGACAGAGTCTTGCTTTGTCACTCAGATTGGAGTGTACCAATGTGATCTTGGCTCACTGCAACCTCCGTCTCCTGAGTTCAATCGATTCTCCTGCCTCAGCCTATAGAGTAGCTGGGATTACAGGCACACACCACCACACCCGGCTGATTTCTGTAATTTTTGTAGAGACAAGGTTTCACCATGTTGGCCAGGCTGGTCTCGAACTCCTGACTTCAAGTGATCCGCCTGCCTCAGCCTCCCAAAGTGTTGGGATTACAGGCGCAATCCACTGCGCTCTGCACTATTATTTTTTAAATGAAGCCTATTAGAATTTCTTGATTCCTTAAATCTGTGCTTTTCAGACTATCCTTGGTGAAGGAAACAGGTTTCTTTTCAAAATCCTTTGTAAAATACAATACAAATGAATAACGAGCAACAGGCACTTGGATATCGGGTAATGCTGAATTGCTACAGATTCTTCCTCTCAATTTTGGCACTTTTATCATGATGGACAAGTAACAGTTTACAGACAAACACTGAGCTGCAGAGACAGTCTTTTCATCTATGATTTATGTATAACATTGACTAAAAAAACACTTTCAAAATGGGTGCACAACGACGTAACTGCACTTAACTGTGCGCTTAATGGTTAAGATGGTAAAAAAAAAAAAATCCAAACAAAGTTGTAAAGGGAATTCACACCTGCTAGGAGGGCCGTAATCAAAACAATGCAAACCAACAAGTGTTGGTGAGGATGTGGAGAAACTGGAACCCTCGTCTATTGCTAGTGAGAATGTAAAGTTATGCAACCAGTGATGGAGTTTGTGGTTCCTCAGAAAGAACTACTGGGAGCGGCGGCGGTGTCGGCAGCGGCTGTAACGAAGAGAGTTTGGCGCGATGTCTCACACCATTTTGCTGGTACAGACTACCAAGAGGCCAGAAGGCAGAACTTATGCTGACTATGAATCTGTGAATGAATGCATGGAAGGCATTTGTGAAATGTATGAAGACATGTGAAAAGAATGAATCCCAACAGTCCCTCTATCACATATGACATCAGTCAGTTGTTTGATTTCATCAATGATCTGGCAGACCTCAGCTGCCTGGTTTACCGAGCTGATATCCAGACATACCAGCCTTATAAAAAAAGACTGGATTAAAGAGAAGATCTACATGCTTCTTCATCGGCAAGCTCAACAGGCTGAGAAATAACTGTGTTGGAAGCATTGGGGGATGGGGGTGGGCTTGGAACACGGGTGTGTACAGTGTGCTGTAGTGGAAGTTTTGTATCATAGTAATCCTGTTTCCACTTTGTTATACTCTAGCCAAGATGGACTGTATTAGATGAAATGTGAAGATCTTGTTCAATCAGAAACCCCTGTTGCCCCCTCTTTTTTTCTTTTCTTTCTTTTTTTTTTACTCAAACATTTTTATGATGATTTAGATGGAAGTTGTTCTTTGTCAGTTAATGTTGGTTCCAGTCCTTCAGTCTCCAACTGGGTTCCAGTCCATTCAGCTGGAATGCATAACATTCACTGTAGTAACCCTTCTTCAAGTTGGAGGGGGGAGGGTGGAAACACAGTTTAGCCATGTCCTCAAGATAAAGTTTTGGTAAAAACAAATAAGTGTTCTTTAGTAAAAAAACAAAACAAGTAAAACTACCATGTGATCCAGCAACTCCACTCCTAAGCATATACCCAAAAGAATTGAAAGCAAGGACTTGAACAGATACTCATACACCATGTTCTTAGCTGCATTATTCACAATAGCCAAAAGGTGGAAACAGCCAAAATGTCTACCAACAGATGAATGGATAAACACAACGTGGTCTTGCTATACAGTGGAACATTATTCAGCCTTAAGATGGAATGAAGTTCTGACGTATGTGACAACATGGATGAGCCTTGAAAACATGCTGTGAAAGGAACCAGACACAAAAGGACAAATACTGGATGTTTCCTCTTATATGAGCTTCCTAGTGTGGTCCAATTCATAGAGACAGAAAGGAGAAGGGTGGTTGCCAGGGGCTGGGAAGAGGAAGGGATGGGAGTTGTTTAAGGGGACAGAACTTCTGTCTGGGATGATGAAAAAGTTTGCAAACAGACAGTGATGATGGTTGCACGACATTGTGAATATACTTAATGCCACTAACTGTACACTAAAAAATGGTTAAAATTGCAAATTTTATGTTACATATTTTCATCACAACTTAAAAAATTATTAAAATACCCTAGGTTTAAAGTCTAAAAGGTTTCTCTCTTTAAATATAAAATGAGAATATTAAATGATAACAAAATAAAATAAATAAATGAAAATAACAAAGGGAGAACCCAGAGGATCAGGAAGAGGATGGATAGTGTAGAGGTGGGCGAGTTTTAGAGAGTGTCTATGGAGGAGGTGGAGGAGGAGACTTTGGGAGCAAAGATTCAATAGCAGGGCTGTGAGGGCTGAATGGGTTATTTTGAGGAACCCATGTGGCTGAAACCTGCGACCGCATAGAGAAGAGCAGAAGATTCAAGGGGGAAAGCTCTGACCATCACTGAAGATTCTGTGAGCAGTGGGTAGCCCGGCAGGGAGGGTTTCAAGCTGAGGAGTCACAGAATCAGAACTGCGCTCTACATCAGTGGGTCGCAAACTCCAGCCTGCATCAGAATCACCTGGAGGGCTTGTTTAAACACAGCTTGTTGGCCGGGTGTGGTGGCTCACACCTGTAATCCCCGCACTTTGGGAGGCTGAGGTGGGCGGATCATTTGAGGTCAGGAGTTCGAGACCAGCCTGGCCAACACGGTGAAACCCCGCCTCAAAACAACAACAACAACAACAAAAAAACACAGTTTGCTGGGCTCCACCTCCCCCTGTTTCTCATGAGCAGGATATGGGGCTGGTGGTGGGATGGCAGTGGGACAGGTAGTGGGATGTTGAACTCCTCTCTCTTCTCCTAGACACCACCACACGTCTCCTGCTGGGTGCCATCGCGGTCCTTCTGTTCGCCATCTTGGTGGTGATGAGCATCTTGGGTGAGCATGCATGTCAGAGCATTTATGTAATTCAATTTGCACACTCCTTGTTAAAAGCACATCTAATTAGTTAAAGAAAGATTCTAGACATTCCAAGAATCCTGTGGGGGACTAAGTAAGTAGAAAATACATAGTGTCAGTTGTTGAGATTTTAGCTTAAAATAATATATTCACACACAGACTATACATGTCCCCTTTATTAAGCCATGCAAGTAGAGTGGAGATGTTACTTAGGTATTATTTTTTAAGTGCTGTGAGAACTCAGAACAAACTTGGGGTAAGTTAGGAAGACAGTGCTTCTTGGAGGAGATGGTTTGGGAATAAGGATCATATTCAGTCAGGCACAGTGGCTCACGCCTGTAATCCCAGCACTTTGGGAAGCCGAAGTGGGTGGATCACCTGAGGTCAGGAGTTTGAGACCAGCCTGGCCAACATGGTGAAACCTCGTCTCTACTAAAAGTACACAAATTAGCTAGCTGTGGTGGTGGGTGCCTGTAACCCCAGCTAGTCGGAGGCTGAGGCAGGAGAATTGCTGGAACCTGGGAGGCAGAGGTTGCAGTGAACTGAGATCGCACCACTGCACTCTACCCTGGGCGACAGAGAGAGAGAGACTCCATCTCAAAAAAAAAAAAAAAAACAACAAAAAAACCCCCACACATCACATTCAGTCAGCAAACATTTATTGAGTGCTGCTGTGTGCTAAGCTCTGGGCTAAGTGCTAGGGTTAAAAAGAAGACGAATATGACACTGTGTCCTGTGTCCAGGGGTAAGTGCAATAATAGAGGTATTACTGCCCAGTGGCTTCCCAGAAGGAAAACACATGTGCAATGAACCCTGAAGAATGAATAGGAGCTTCCCAGAGATTAGGAGGTAGAGAGTGCTAGGGAGGAAAAAGCTTTTCCTCTGCCCTCTTAAGTTCAGTGTCTAGGGGCCTGTAAATTAAACTATCAAAGACAAATTAGCAGGAGAAAAGGTACCTAATGTTTCTTAATATTTATGTTCATGGGATTTCACAGATAATAAGTGAAACTCAAAGAAGAATTTAAACTCAGGGGCTTACACACCTTTTTAACAAAGGAAAGAGGGCTTGGGTTTCAAGGGCTGGTAAATTAAGGGAAGTGACTAGGAAATACACGGAGGAACAATAGGAAATAAAGGCTATTTTAGTAAGCTTTGCTTATGCAAACTAATCTTGGTGTTGATTCCTTGGCATGTTTGATGATGAGTCACTCTTCCCTCCCTGGTTTAGGGTGGGCAGTGGGGGTATGGGAGGGTATGGGGTGAGGGATGGGGAGTAGGGCAGCTCCCTCCCCAAAGGGAAATTTATGCCCTACTTTCTGGCAGATGAGAGGGTAGAGAACTCATCCTGTTGATTCTGAATTGCCTTCAGCTTAAAATGATCCATATGTCAAAGTGGCATATTTTAGGGTGGCATATTCTGGACCCTATCAAGGGAATAGAACATTCTAAGTGGGAGAGGCCTGAGAAACATAGAGAGTGTGTGGAACTGACAGGGTTGGATAAATGAAAAACGTAGAAACTGCAACTAAGAACGTGTGAGGCTATATGAACAGGGAATCTGATTACTTTTAAGAGATTCAAATACAAGTGTATTGTAGGTTCTGAAGGGTTTCCAAAAATGATATTAGTGCCTCTGTCTTTAATCTTTGAGAAATGCCGTAAGACCAGAGGTGGAATCCATAAAATGGGGGAAAATTCCACCAAGATTATCAATTCCTACCAAACCCTCCCCTATAGGGCTTGTATGACAAGGACAGGGGTTCTGAGTGTTTAGAAATGGATATGGCAGCTGGGTGCAGTGGCTCAAGCCTGTAATCCCAGCACTTTGGGAGGCCAAGGTGGGTGGATTACTTGAGGTCAGGAGTTCGAGACCAGCCTGGCCAACATGGTGAAACCCTGTCTCTACAAAAAATACAAAAATTAGCTGGGCATGGTTGTGTGCACCTGTAGTCCCAGCTACTCAGGAGGCTGAGGAAGAAGAATCGCTTGAATCCGGGAGGCAGAGGTTGCAGTGAGCTGAGATTGTGCCACTGCACTCCAGCCTGAGCGACAGAAGGGACTCTGTCTTAAAAAAACAAACAAAAAATAAGGGTAACCACTGGGCCTAGCTTAAATTCACCTAGAATAATTCCTACAAATTAAATCAGTTTTCTTTTATCCTCTTACATCAGTTTTCTTTTATCCTCTTACTAGGTTGGGAGGCCAGAGAATGTGTAGACATAGCTAGTATGATTTCAATAAAGCACAACAGTCTCTTAGGAGATCCTTGCGGAAAAGCAGTTGAGATGTGAGATGTAACCACACCATGGTCAGTACTCCCAGGTGGACTTGCATCTCACTGAACAGATATATATGCCCAGGGGGTGTCGATGGATGAATCGGTGTCTGTGTGGCTGGAGATCCCTAGGGGCTTGAGTACCAGAGGCCCGTTCTTGGCTCTGTCCTGGTCTACATTTTAATCAATCACTTGTATGAAAACAAACAAAAAGTATGCTTATGGAATTTGCAGCTGACACAATCCAAAAACACAATCCCACATGACAGATGGGTGAAAGAAATCAAGATTAAAATGTATCTTGAAAAACTCAAATGATGAGCCAGAGTGAATGAGATAAATGTGGAAGAAATAAATATAAGGTTCTGCATTTGGATGTAAGAAGTTATTTTCACATGTTCTGACACTGGGGGAGACCTGGCTTAGAATCAGATCATATGAAAACAATCTAAGATTGTGGATTAATTCCATTTGGCAAGGAGGCCCTTTGAGAAGCTCCGGGCTCCCTTCCCAGAAAAGTCCATGTATGCACATACCCGCCGATCTGTTCACGGAAGCAGTCTGCAGACTGGAGATCCCATGACAACTGGAAGACAGCATGGTGGTCACTGTCGCTGCTGGTAGAGCCACATCTGATGTGTCCCGGTCTGTCCTGGTGGCAGTGATTCAGTGGTAACCTGGGGACATTGCAGTGAGCAGGCAGTATGGAGAGCAACCCTTGCCAGGAATCTCGGGAGAGATGGCATCTGTTTCAACCTGGATGAGGCAGGCTGGTGTGCTTCTTTGAGTAGGGGGTAGAAGACAGAACGGGTGTCTCTGGGTCACTCCAGAGGCTAGATCCTAGACCAGCAGGTCTCGGTCACAGGGGTACAGGTTGGGACTCAACATTTAAGAACTTTCCATGCACACTAACAGCAAGGGGGTTAAGAAAATAAAAAATGCAAAGAACTTTCCAGCAGTTCAGTGGTGGAATGGCAGCCTTGGTAGCTAATGTGGGCATGGTTAATGATAGCGGGCAGTCTGTCCTGCTGTTGGTACCTGGCCTAGCTGGAAAGAGCGGACACGTAGCGGCCAGGTCTCTTCCCAGTCTGAGTTTCTGGCGTTCCATGCCTCTGGGAGTTTGGAGACAGAGGAGATCCTAACCCAGTGGCTGCGCCACTGTCATGTCCCCTTGCGGTGACGCCTGCCAGGCTTCCCACTGTCCCCTTTCTCATTCATTTAGTGGCCACCCTTTTACCTCCAGGCACCAGGAGAGGTGCTTACCGGAGAGGATAGCCACGCCTGCAGTGTCCCTGGAGGATGCCAAAGCTGAGGCAGGGGAGGGAGCCACAGAAAGCAGAGTGGGACTCTGGCTGGGGAGTGGGGCGGGCAGGGCCAAGCCGGTCTCTTCCCTGCAGCTTCCAAGGGCTGCATCAAGTGTGAAGCGCCCTGCCCAGAGGACTGGCTGCTCTACGGAAGGAAGTGTTACTTCTTTTCTGAGGAACCCAGAGACTGGAACACAGGCAGGCAGTACTGCCACACCCACGAGGCAGTGCTGGCTGTGATTCAGAGCCAGAAGGAGCTGGTGAGTGTGCCGAGGTGAAGGGCGGCGGGGGAAGGGATCTTCAGGGCCCCCAACCTTGACTCTAGGGGACAGTCACACCCTAAAGGATGCAGTGTTCCCTGTGACCCATCTCCAAAGCCACCACCTGCTGCATAACCACTGGGGGTGCAGGAAGACCTCATGGTCTGAGCACGTCAATGAGTGGCTCCAGTTTCCACTTCCATTGTCAAGGCCACCTATTTCAATCCAAGGCCCACTGGTTGAGGTCACTTAGCATTATAAACCATAAGAATGACCAATTATAAAGTTGGTGATGTGGTATACACCTCTAGTACCAGCTACTCGGGAGGCTGAGGCAGGAGGATCACTTGAGCCCAGGAGTTGGAAGTTAGTCTGGGCAACACAGTAAGACCCTAGCTCTACAAAAAGTAAAAGGAAAATTAGCTGGGCATGGTGGAGCGTGCCTGTAGTCCCAGCTACTTAGGAGGCTGAGGCAGGAGGATCACTTGAACCCAGGAGTTCAAGGCCAGCCTGGGTAACATAGCAAGACTTTGTCTCTCTTTTTTTTTTTTTTGAGGCAGTCTCACTCTGTCGCCCAGGCTGGAGTACAGTGGTGCCATCTCGGCTCACTGCAGCCTCCGCCTCCTGGGTTCAAGCGATTCTCATGCCTCATCCTCCTGAGTCCCTGGGACTGCAGCCGTGCGCCACCACGCCTGGCTACTTTTTGTATTTTTACTAGAGACGGGGTTTCACCATGTTGGCCAGGCTGGGCTCGAACTCCTGGCCTCAAGTGATCCACCTGCCTAGGCCTCCCAAAGTGCTGGGATTACAGGTGTGAGCTACTGTGCCCAGCCACAAGACTTGTTTCTTAAGAAAAAAATAATTGGCCGGGTGCAGTGGCTCATGCCTATAATCGCAGCACTTTGGGAGGCTGAGGTGGGCAGATCACGAAGTCAGGAGATCGAGACCATCCTGGCTAACACTGTGAAACTCTGTCTGTACTAAAAATACAAAAAAAAAAAAAAAAAAATAGCCGGGAGTGGTGGCAGGCGCCTGTAGACCAGGCTACTTGGAGGCTGAGGCAGGAGAAAGGCGTGAACCTGGGAGGCGGAGGTTGCCGTGAGCCGAGATCGCACCACTGCACTCCAGCCTGGGCGACAGAGCAAGACTCTGTCTCAAAAAAAAAAAAAAAAAAAAAAAAAGAAAAAAGAATTACAAATTATAAATGCATTGTGAAATGTAAAAACACGTTGTCATTTTCTAAAGATCCAAATCAGGATATGGTCTCTCATTTAACATCCAAAACAGTTTTAGCAACAGAAACATGAAAGAAATACAATTAATGGAGTCTATTGGCTGTTTTGGATTTTGAGGTTAACAGTGGTGTTAACCAAAATAGAAGATAATCTGAAAATCACTTCTGTTTGCCTTTGATACACAGTATGATATCCCCAGTCTGCAGGGAAAGTCCCAGAAATTTGCAGGTAGGACAACCAACCTGAGCATTGAGATTTGTCCCAGATCCTCCATCCAATGGGCAATCCCCAAGCTTCCTGCAAATCAGGAATGCTGGCCTGCTGAGCTAGGAGGGCAAGCCCTGTACGGCCTTCCTGGCCAGTGGGTGTGCACACAGAGCCAGGGTCCCTTTCAAGCGGTCGGAGGCAATTGCTGTGAGGTCAGCGAGCAGCTCGGAGCCGAACTCTGGCAGTGTGACTGCGGAGGACCCTGTAAGCCTAGCTCCTCACTTTCGGGATGCAGCGAGACAGCAGTCACTCTCCTGGCGTCTGTACCTCCCGAGAGCCAGTATCTTCCAAGCTGAGGTTTGTCTTGGGATGTGACAGCAGTCAGGAGACCGCATCTGACCCTGAGGTGTCCCTCTTTCCTCGGTGCAGGAATTTATGTTCAAGTTCACGCGGAGGGAGCCCTGGATTGGACTACGCAGAGTTGGGGACGAATTCCACTGGGTCAACGGGGACCCGTTTGATCCAGACACGTGAGCTGAGGCTTCATCTTCTGGCCACCGAGCTTAGACTGAGAAAGGCCTGACTCACCCCCTGGACACAGCTCCCGAAGAGAGAAGCCCTTGGTTTTGTGCTAGCTAGAGATACTAGTCTCGGGGTCCCGCAGCGTGCGCCAGAGACCCAGTCATGAAAATGCCTGTACTTCTCCCTCTCTCACAAAAGTCCAGCCTGGCTTGGTGGCTCTGCCCTGTGAGGCCATCGGAGCTTCCCAGGGTCTCTCCACCCTTGAGTCCCCGATCTATGCAGCCTGGCGCTCCTCAGCTCCACTCTGGCACAACCACATCCCATTCAGCCCCAACAGGACAGCGAACGGGAGGGAGGGCCCTGGATGGCCTCACCCTATTGGCCAGAACTTAGTCACATGGCAGCACCTGGCCGCAAGGGAGGATGGGAGACACGCCTTCCTCCTGGGCAGCCACTTGGCACCTAAGCACTGTAGCTGTGGAAGAAAGGGGATCTGAAGGCAGGCACCCGGAAGTGTTCTAGGCCACATTTTCCTGGTGAACGCATCTCTTGATGGAGGGGGCACTGCTGAGGTGGTGGCGTGTGCCGTGGTGGTTTTGTAAGACTCACGTGGTGTGGAAATGAGTGTGTGATGCAGGGTCTGGTGTGTGGTGTGGGGGTGATGGTCATGGGTGGAGTGGGTGGCAGATGTGTGGCTGTGGCAGTACAGTGGGGACTGTGTGGGGCGTGGGGAAAGAAGTGGTCTAGGCCTAGAGAAATGCAGGGAGGTGCATACAGGGGAGTGGGACCCTCAGAACAGACCCTGTGGCTAGAGGAATAGGCTCTGAGGTGCCAGCGGGAGGGCATGGGGTGGGGTGGGGAACACAGCTCCTAACCCGATGATGATGACACGTGAGCGTCCCCAAGGCAAGGGCTAAAGCAGAAGGGCGTCTGAGACCCTCGGATCCTCCTGGTTGCCAGAGGTGGCCATCAGCTGCCCTCCCACCTGAGGGTGGCTTAGGCAGTCACGCCCATGGCAGCCCTGGAGGCAGGGGCATTCATGATGCTTCCCCTCCTCCTCCTTTTCCTTATCTCAAGCACTCTTCATTTTTGCCCCTTACTCTGGCCTCAGTGCCCCTTCCGTTTCTCACCCACTTTCCTGTCCCCCTCTCAGGTCTGCTCTCAGAGTGGCTGAGCAGGTCTTGCACTTTCCACCCCTCTCCCTGCCTTTCTGGAAGCTTCTTGCTCTCAGAGCCCTGCAGATTGGGGTCTGTGGCATCCTGACCACCTGGCAACCAAGGGGCCTTTGGCCACATTTCTCAGACGCTGCAGAGGTTCTTTCCCTTGCACTCCTTCTTGGGGTCGTTCCAATGCCCTCTGTTGTGAGGGTCTACCTCCAACCTTGGCAGGGATCGGAGGTCTGGGTGAACAACTAAGGTTAAGAAGAAACCTCTGAGGCTGGAAAGGGGTGATTTTAGGTAGGGGGGAATCTTTCTACCGCACACGTCTGTGTGTGATGTCAATGAGTTCCTGGGCAACACAGCCTCAGCCCATATTGGGGTTATTGCCGCCTGCCCCTAACCTGTGAGGGGTAGCTGACTTCAGCCAGCTCTGCGGAACTCCTCCTGTGTGCTTGACTCTGCGCATTGCAGGGGGCCAAGATGAGAGGACACAGAGCTCGCTGCTCAGGAGCTGACTGCTTTGGGGACCTGTGTGGACAGACAGGTAGAGGCCCCAGGGGGCTGTGGGAGTGCCCCACAGAGCAGGCAGGGGACTGTGGGGAGGTAGGGTGGGCAGAGAGTGGCCCTGAACTGGGTGTCATGGAGCCTGGGACCTGTGAGCCAACCCTGCAAGGACATGGAGAATGGGGAAGTGTGTGTGTGTCCAGGACGTGTCTGAGCGGTGTGCCGGGGTGGCTGAAGCTACGGTGCACAGAGTAGGAAGACAATGGGATGCCAAGCTAGAACAGTCTGTCAGCACAAATGTCCTAGAAGGCAGCTCCAGTGATGAAGTGAGGGAGGGATAGGCCTCAGGGCCTCCATGGCCTCCCCTGCCACTGGGTTTTGGGCTGAATGTCCCAGATCATAAACGCCTGGTCTTCTCTCCTGGCCACAGGTTCACCATCGCAGGTCCAGGGGAGTGTGTCTTCGTGGAGCCCACCAGGCTGGTGTCGACGGAGTGTCTGATGACCCGGCCCTGGGTGTGCAGCAAGATGGCCTATACGTGAGGTGGGTGGGGCCAGAGGTGGCCCCTCCCCCCAGGCCTGTGGGAGGTGTCTGCCCGAGACCTGCTCCAGCGGAGCCGCCTGCCCTCTGCAAGACCAAGCAGTGGGGTGGGTGGCCTCTGCCCCAGGCCCCTCTCCCAGGCCCTGGCGCTCTGAGTCCCTGGTTCCTGGCCTCCTTTGTCTCCAGGCAGGTCGTGTGGCTCAGCAGTTAAATCCCATATGCTAAGTAGTGTAGGCATCTGCCCACCTACGCGCACACACACACGCATACGCACACGCACGCACACGCATACGCACACGCACGCACACACACGCACACGCACGCACACACACACATGCATACGCACAGGCACGCACACACACTGTCCCCTCTGAAGCTCAGTGTCCACCCTGAGCCACCCCACAGATCTCTCTCTGGCCCCCTAGAAGCCCTCTCCTCACTGCAGCCCTGGTGCTCTGGGGAAGGAGGAGCATTGACAGGTGGTTTGACTGTTCACTCAGTAGTCCTGCTTCCCCAGTGGTTTCTCTCATGGCTGCCGGTGGAGGCAGGCTGGGAAAGCTTCCCCCTCACCTAGGCCAGGCCAGCCCTGGGCCCCAGAGGTCCCCTGCGTCCCCCTTCTTTGCCTTGCCTAGGTTCTCAGGCAGGGCCCCTGCTGTGTCCGTGGTGCTTTGTATTGGTCACTAACGGAATAAAGAGTTAATAACTCGTGTCCAGAGAAGTCTGCTGCCATTTGTTCCAGAGTCAGAGCTTGGGGAGGGATAGCGAGGGGCACATCTCTGGGTGCCAGTCTGTGGGGACCACCACAAAATTCACCTGTTCTAGTGCAGCAGATAGCGGTGTGTGAGGATGAAAAAACGCACCTTCTGGCCTCAGGGCATCATTTCATGTTGCTAAGCCTTTAAGGTATTCTTAGGTGGCCATTCCAGCTCCTTCATTGCTAGTCACCTCAAGATGACAAATGTTTATTCACACCTACCACAAGCCAGACACCACACCAGGCATGGGGGATCTATGGCCTTATCCCCCAAGAAGCACACAAGAAGCAGAGGAAACAGCTCAGAAAGTGCTAGAACATTCTGGAACACAGTCAAGGGATGGTTTATTCTGCATTGGGGCAGGATGGAATGAAGTGAACGGGAAGATTAAGTAGTGTTCACATTGAGCTGGAAAAGAGTTTGTGAAGGTCTTATGGCCTCTTCCTATCCCCCTTGATCTGCTTGGGGAGGAAGTGGTGGGGGCATGGGGTTGGCAGGCAGTGCCCTCGGGCCTGTAGGGGCTCCACACTCTCCTCCGCACACACTTGAGGCTCCAGCACCAAACTGCAGTGGATCCCGGGCCTCTCTGGCCTCCTGATGTTCCCAGATGAATGAGATGTGGGTAGCCTGCCTGGGAGCCCAGTGTGTGCATTTGGGTCCTGGCCCATTTTCAGAAAATAGCTCGGAGAGAGAAACCGGGTCCTGCTGTGCTCTGCGCAGTCCTAGTACTGGTTTTATAGTCTTCAGACAAAACCTCCAACTTGGGTTTGTTACATTTTCGGCATGCTTTCCAGATACTTTGTAAAATACAGGTGGTTTGTGGTTTTATATTGTGCTGTCACTGGGAAGCCAGTTGGGGATCTGAGTATACAATAAAGTACTTAAGGGAATTCAGCTGGTGGTGGTGGGCCTGTAGGGGTGGCTGTGAGGGGTTGAGGGTTGAGGAAGTGGTCAGCTGCTGCCGCTTCTCGGGTGGGAGTCCCACACTCCCACCTGTTCTCAGTTACGTATAAGCCTGTGTTTCTCACCAGTATCCACCCCTCAAAGACAGCGAGGTTCAAAGCCTCAGTACTGTTTGCTTTACGTATGGCAGCTCCCTTAATTCTCGCAGAAATACTGGAGACAGGTCATGCTGCCAAAGGTGAGTAAACTACCTTGCCAGGGTCCTGAGAACCACGTGACCAAGGGCTTCAGAGCCCTGCTTTCCTCCAGCCCTGTGGGTTCAGGGAAGCAATGTGAGAGGACACAGAATGGGTAACCTGTGCCTTTTGGCACAGGTTATTTATTAAAATAATAAAATTATTTTATTTTATTATTTGTTTGTTTTTCCGAGAAAGAGTCTCACTCTATCGCCCAGGCTGGAGTGCAGTGGTGCAATCTCGGCTCACTGCAACCTCTGCCTCCTGGGTTCAAGCGATTCTCCTGCCTCAGCCTCCCGAGTAGCTGGGACTACAGGTGAGTGCCACCATGCCTGGCTAATTTTTGTATTTTTAGTAGAGACAGGGTTTGACCATGTTGGCCAGGCTGGTCTTGAACTCCTGACAGGTGATCTGCCTGCCTCGGCCTCCCAAGGTGCTGGGATTACAGATGTGAGCCACTGCATCTGACCTGGGTTTTATTTTTTATTAAATGATCCAAAACCCGCTGCCTGAAGCTTTTAAAACCTAGTGGCAAATAAGGTCTTTTAACTTTAGATTTGCCCTGGGACCATGCAACAATTCTAAATCAGTTTGGGAGAGCATGTGCCCTGATCCAGGGTCATCAACGTTTTAAGATTTTTTTCAATCTGTTTTCTACCAATGAAGGAAGTACAAGATAAAAACAAAACCCAACTTCAGAAATGTCGAAAATCCTTCCAAAGGTTATAGACCAGCCAGGCCGCCCCTGTCCCCTTTGTGGGCTGAACCAGGCTCAGTTTGCAGAGCCTTGGCACTCTGTGCTGTGCTCTCAGCAGCTAGAGGCGGCAGCACTGAGGGCAGACATGCCACTTTTTTCTGATCCCCAGGGTTCATGGCTTCTTCAGCCAGGAGGGTCTATAGGACCACATATCTCCAAGTCTCACTCCTCATCCCCTGGGGCAGATTTTTCCTTTTTGAGGTGACTGGCCTTGGAGCTCAGAGCTGGGGAAGGTGCTCCCTAGGCAGGGTTGAGCCCTAATCCCAGTAGGCAGGGGGCTTGTAGAAGCCAGAGCACACACACAGCCACCCACAGATGCACTTCGTGATGGAGGATACCCAGAAGAGACTTTTTATTTCATTAAATTAAGTAATTAATTTATTATTATTATTATTTGAGACAGAGTCTCACTCTGTCACCCAGGCTAGAGTGCAGTGGCGTGATCTTGGCTCACTGCAACCTCTGCCTCCCAGGTTCCAGCAATTCTCCTGCCTCAGCCTCCCGAGTAACTGGGACTACAGGTGTGCATCACCACACCCAGCTAATTTTTTGTATTTTTAGTAGAGACAGGGGTTTCACCATGTTGGTTAGGCTGGTCTCAAACTCCCAACCTCTTAATCTGCCCACCTTGGCCTCCCAAAGTGTTGGAATAACAGGCGTGAGCCACCGCGCCCAGCCTATTAGTTATTTTTTTTTTGGAAAGGGAGTCTTGCTCTGTTGCCCGGGCTGGAGTGCAGTGGTACGATCTCAGCTCACTGCAACCTCCGCCTCTCGAGTTCAAGTGATTCTCCTTCCTCAGCCTCCCGAGTAGCTGGGATTCCAGGCACGTGCCACCATGCCTGACTAATTTTTATATTTTTAGTAGAGATAGGATTTTGCCATGTTGGCCAGGCCGGTCTTAAACTCCTGACTTCAGGTGATCTTCCTGCCTCGGCCTCCCAAAGTGCTGGGATCATAGGCATGAGCCACTGCGCCCGGCCCTAGGAAAGACTTTTTAAGAAGCTTGACTGGGTGGTAGCATTTGGTGCTGTCCTAGAGGATTAACTAGTGTTGTATGCATCTTCCTCATAGCCCTGCCAGGTCAGAATGATCAGCCCAGCTCATCGGCTACAGGACTTGCCCCATAGTACACAGTTGGGAGGTGGCAAAGCCAGGATTTGTTGGGGGGTGGCAAAGCCAGGATTTGAACCCAGACCCATCCCCACAGCGCCCTCGGGCAGCTGCATGTGTGGCAGGCGAGCTGCCTGCTGCGCTGGCCAGCTCTGGGGAGGAAGGGTAGGAAGTGTTTGTGTGTGCCAGTGGCTGAGAAGGGGCCACCCTGGGAAAGGAAATCTACATGCCCACGGGCGATTCTTTTTCTGGTTGTCTTTATCTTCATTACACGACATTCATGTGAATTACCCATGGAGAGTGCGTGATGTGAAGAATGACTTCTGTCCTTCTCTTCCTTTAAGGTCCAGCTCCAGCCTCCCTGGAATGCCTCCCTGGCAGCAACAGCACTCGTGACCACTCCCTTTGCCCAACGTCTCTGCCTCTTAAGACTGAGGCTCTTACATGACCCTGTGTCTGTGTGGCTTGTCATCTTGTGACTCTTCTCTTTATGTCATCTGACCACTCCTGTCATCTGTTGATAAGCCTCTCCACAGTGGCCCCAAGATGGCAGGGACTCCATTGTTGGTCTCTTTGTAGTACACATAGCAGATGCTCAAAAATTGCTGTGTATGATAATCAGATCACCTGCAGTGTCATCTGTGAACTATTTGCCATGGTGGGAGGTAGCGATGGCTGGCTATTGTCCAGAGCCTCATCTTTTTGGCTTTGGTGGCATGGCATGATTTCAGAAGCACAGCCAATATGAACTCCTTGCTTATGTTAAATGAGCTCATTCATATTCCCTAAGCGTGCACATGCTGGACGGGTTGAGGGTGGGGTGGCCCAAAAGTCCAGGGGTGCTGAGGGAAAGCTGCCTTCATCTCCCGAGTGTCCTTCACATCACACGCTAAGCCCAGTGACGAGGAGACGGCTGAGAGGAAGCCAGGCCCGGGAATGTCGTCATCAGTAACTGGGGTTGGCATTTGAAGGGTCCTGTGATCGCTGGGAAAGTCCTGTCCATATCATATCACTGTGTTGTTCTGTGAGAGGTGACCTGGTTTTCAGAAATGCCCACTCTCTGCTGAGTGCTTGCACCAGGAGCGGGTAGAGAGGCATCTGCCTCTTTCTTCTTGGTCTGTGGCCAGCTCCAAACTGTAAGTATGGGATTCAAATTGGGAACAACAAGAAAGCCCCTTGCCACGCCCATCAGAGATTCCCCACTCTCTGCCAAGGCAGCCTGGAGTGGACGCACTCTACACAGCTCCCAAGGCCTGCCTGGATCTGGGTCTAGTTCTACCAGCAAGCAGTTGTGTAACTCCGGCTGCCATATGAAACCTCTCTGACCTTAGGCTTTCCATCTGTCTATAAAGTTGGAATAATAGTTGCCCTGCTGACTTCACAGGGCTTTGAGAATTGTAAATGTTAGTATTTCAGGAGCTAGAAATGATCTACCCCATCTCACTATCCATGAGGCCCAGGGCAGTTAAGTAACACATCCTAAGTCACATCACTCCGGCCGTGTGGCTCTCCTGTTCTGGTTTATATTCATTATTGCACGTGTCATGTTTTGTTGAATTGTTTACTAGTCCATCATTCATGCAGAGGTGTGAGCTCCTAGAGAGCAGGGATCCAGTCTCACACTCCTCTGTAGCCCTAGCACCTGGTACATACAGAAGGTGCTCCATAAATGTGTGTTGAATTAAACTGATCTTGCCTCCTAGTTCAAATGCTCTTTTCTTTACGCCATGCTGTCTGTGATCCTAGAAACCCATATTTCCAATTCAGCTGCCCACAAAGTAGGAAACTTGCAGATGGTTTTGAGAAAAACATAAATGAGATGCCAGCCACTTAGGATATCTATTAGGGTCCTGTGGTTTTGAGGACAGACCCTTTTCAGCAGATAAATATACAACTAAGACGAAATTGGAATAGCAATACCTGGAAGAAGAGTAGCAATAAATTGGAATAACAA